CACCTGGCTCAATCCCCCTCCGTGTCTGGTTATGGAATTTGAGGCCCAGAGAGATGGTCCGAGCTCGCCCTGCAAACTGGTGGCAGAGTGAGATCAGAATCCGCCCTGAGACCCTCCCTCCGTCCCTCTCCATCTCTGTGCTTTCCCCAGGTGGTCTCATCGCATGCACTGTCTTTTCAAACTGTGCGTGTGCTCACCCCCAGCTCCCCTCCACCTATGTCTCCCCCAGCTCCAGCCTCCTGTGTCCCACCATCCCCAACAGCAGCAGCCTCTCGCCCCCTCTCCTCCCCTACCTTCCTCCAGTTCCCCTCCCTTCACACACACACACACACACACACACACACGCACACACACGGCCACCAGAGTGTGTTTCCAATCTGTGAATTGGATCCTGTCCCGCCCTGCTCTCAGCCCAAGGCACTGCATGCAGATCGCAATCCAACCTCCTCCCCACGGCCTCCGAGCTCAGCCCCGTGGTGGCTTCTCCGTGGCTGTCTGCCTTTCTCTCTGCTGCCACCACAGTGACCTTGCTGTGGCTCAGATGCACCCAGCTCATGTCTGCCTTGCATGCTCAGTCCCTCTCTCGGGGACACTCTTCCCCTGGACTCCCTCTGGCTCCCCATCCCTTCGGTTGGGTCTCAGCTCACAAGCCCCTCCCCAGAGAGGGCCTCCCGCGCACCCTGTGCGCAGTACACCCTGCCACTCTCTAGCCGCTGCCTTCTTCATTCTCCTCCACACCAGCGAACCCGGCCTGCAATTTCGCAGCATATTTGTTCCTTTACTTTCACCCTCTCCCGTCCCGCTCACGGCTCACTTGCTCAGTGCCTTGCATGGGGCCTGGCACATAACTGTCGCTCTATAAAAAATTGTTGTAGGAATGAATAAATCAGTAATCAAACAAATTCATTCAACAAACACATGTTCAGAGGCTGTTCAGTGTCAGGGGCTGTGCTAGGCACCGAGAACTCGGGCGTGGAGCAAGCGGACGAGGAAGGGTGCCTGCCCGCAGGGAGTTGGATCACCACCTTGGGGACAGATGGATCTGTGTTTGCAGGAGCCTCAGAGTGACCTGAGTGGCTGGTCTAGGCTGAGTCTGAGCCCCGGACAAGAAGATGGGGCGAGGGTGAAAGATCCATGGGTCCTTGCAGCAATGAGTTGAATTCCAGGGACCGTCAATGTCCCTTTTCTGAAGAGCTAGCGACTCTCTGTCCCTCTGTGGTCCCAAACCCATTAGGCCAGCACGGGGCCCATACTCATGAAGGGGCTCTTGGGGCCCAGCCCCCATAAGAGGTTGTGTTTACAGGCTGGGTGTGATTCGCTTCCCGCTGGTGCTAAAATCAGGAAGAAGGGGGTGCCCTCCGCTCGGAGGAAGCCGAGCCTTACCCACTGGGCACGTGGCCCAGCCTAGGCGAGCCCGGTGGGTACCTTGGAATTCCTCAGGCCACGCCTCGGGAAACCTCAACCTCCCCACTTCTCCTCGAGCCTTCCAGCCTCACAAGGTAGGCGGCCACAGCTCCCCGCCCCCTGCAGCCCTGGCATTGTCCATTTCCTCCTTCTGGGCAGAGGATGTGTTTGAAGCTGAAGGGCAGATACAGGAGCCCCAGAAGCCCATCTCCTCCAGGAAGCCATCTCTGCTTTCTCCCTGGGAGTGCCTCCTTTCCCTTAGCCCATAGCACATACCCTCCTCCTAGTTCATTTTTCCATGGATCCATCCATCTGCCCATGGAGCCATCCATCCGCCCATGCGCCGGTTTTTCTTGGGGTGCTTGTTCGGGGCCCGTTCTTTCTTCCGTTGTTGCCCAGGGCGTTGTTCGCGTCCTCCAGAGCTCATAGTCGAATAAGGGGAGGAGTCATTATGCAACTAATTGCAAATTGAAATTTTAACTACAACCTTGATAAATGCTACACAAAAGAAGTACCTGAGCCTACAGGACGCATTAGGGCAGGGAAGATTCCCTGAGGAAGGATGTTTCACCCAAGACCTCGCTGGCCACTATGGGAGCCAGTAGCCACATGTGACTACTGAGCACTTGACGTGCTGCTAGTGCCACTGAGGCACTGAATTTTTTATTTTACTTAATTGTAATTAGTCGAAGTTTAACTTTACAAACTAAAGCAGTGTACATTTTGATTTTGTTGTCTGTTAAATACGACTTTATTGTTTTGGTAGGACTACAATTTTACTTTGTAGAAAATTCAAAGATTTAAAGAAAAAAGAATGTCAAACATCACAATATGTTTACATTGTTTGCATGTTGAAATGCTAGGACTTTGGATATTAGATTAAATAAATATCGGTTAAAATGAATTTCATCTGTTCCTTTTTACTTTTTTAAAGTGGATACGAGAAGATCTAGAACCCCACATGTGGCTGCGGCTGTTTCTATGAGCCGAGAGACAAGGGCATGTGGGAGGCAACCAGGTACAGGAGGTGAGAAGGGTTTGGGGAGGGTCACATTCCCTAGGATGGAAACTCACATTTATTAAGCTCCCATTTTATGCTTAAAATTCCAGACTTTGTATGCACGAGACTCAGTCACTGGGTAGACACCACTCGTCTCCTGTTACAGATAAACGGGAGCTCAGAAAGTTCCAGTAACTCGACTGTGGTGGGTGTGATGGTTGAAACTGAACTTTGCAGGAGTGCCGGTTTGAACTGGTTTTCTTTCTTTCTTTTTTTTTTTTTTCAAATGGAGACAGAGTTTCGCTCTGTTACCCGGGCTAGAGTGCCGTGGCGTCAGCCTAGCTCACAGCAACCTCACACTCCTTGGCTCAGCCGATCCTCCTGCCTCAGCCTCCCCAGTAGCTGGGATTACAGGCGTGTGCCACCAAGCCCGGCTAATTTTTTCTATTTTTAGTAGAGATGGGGGTCTCGCTCTTGCTCAGGCTGGTCTCGAACTCCTGAGCTCAAGCAATCCTCCCGCCTCGGCCTCTCGGAGTGCTAGGATTACAGGCGTGAGCCACCGCTCCCAGTTTTATTTCTGAATGCTGCTTTCAACATGGCTCTGCCAAATTTCTCCTTCCTGCCCCCTCTGTTCTCTTAAGCACAGCCCATCATTTCTGGATACCCTGCAGAAAGGTTCTGCTCTATAATTACTGAACAAATGGATGACGATGGATGAATAATTTCATCAAACTTTATGACATAGCTATTCTGTGTCAGCTCCTGCTTAAGACTTTGTCCAAACCAGTCTGGTTGAAAATGTCAACATTATGTCTAGGTCAGCGCCTACTTCCTCCCCTCGCTTCAGCACGGCCCCCAACTCCCTGCTGAGGGATCTGGAAGGGGGAGAGGCGAAGCGTTCTTTCATTCCTCCTTCCTTCCCTGAATCGGGCCCCTTCTATCCTCTGGTGTGTTGGGGTCTGGGAGCGGAGACGGGGAAAGGTAAACCTCTTTCGCCCAACCGTGCTGTTCACTAGAGCTGGAATCTGGAGGCCAGCTGCCTCCTGGGGCACACGTGTGATCCCTCGGAGGGCCCTGCGTGCGTGCGTGCGTGCATGTGTGTGCACGTGCACGCGTGTGCTGTGGGGCGTCTCTCACGCACGATCTGACCCAGGCTCACGGCTCCCACGCTGCAGCCTCTTGCTCCTGGGCCCCCCGGCCAGCAGCCAGCCCTCTTGAGTGGGCCACAGACAGGAGGCTCTAAGCTTGGCCACCCTCCTCAGTGGGGGCCCCTCCAAGGACCTCGCCCCCTTGCCACTCCGCATGGAGGAAGCCCAGGCCGCTGTCCTGCCGCCCCGCCTCTCTGCCCTGCTGGCTCTTCTCAGCTTCCTGCTCCCCTGCTCAGGGCGGCATCGAGGTGGATCAGCAAGTCCGCCGTTGCCTCAGGAGACACCCAGGACAAAGGGATCCAGCCTCCTCCTCCTGCAGGCACCCTGTCCTCTGGGGGGCACCTTCCTGGAGCACTTTGCTTGGCTGGGTGGCGGGGGGCAGTTTGTGAGGGAGGGAGGAGGTTCCCTAACAGTCTCCCCCAAGCTGACAGCTCCCCTCAGTTAGTCGAGTGTACAGAGCCCGGGGAGATGGGGTGTCTCTGGAGCAGATCGAGCTTGGCTGCTTCGTAATCAGTCCCAAGAACACACCTGGCCCTAAAGGTCCATGGAGACCCAGTCTGTGCCCAGCACTGTGCTGGTGGCCAGTAACAGCAGTGAACAAAAGGCAGCAATCTTCAAGGTGACTTGCCGTTTTCCAACGGGAAACAGATGAAAACAGTCAGTACCTATGTCTGGGCTAACCCCCGGGAAGCTGCGTTAAGCAGGGCACGGAAATGGGGAGACCAAGGACAGATCAAAGAAATGGGGAGACCAAAAGACAGACCTCTTTTCACGGGGTGGCTAGGGAAACTGCTGGCTGTGTTTCAGATTTATTTTTCCCCAACTGGTAGCCTACTAGACAATTCTGGGCGACAGGAAAAGCCTGTCTGACACTGTGTGAGCCTAGTTAAGCGGTGAGGCAGGGGTTGGGTTTCGAAGTCCTTTCTTCATTGTGTTTGGTCATCTGTGTTCCCCAGCCCTTCTGGGACCACCTCAGATCCATTCTGTACTTCCAGAAGCCACCTCTGGGTCTGGGACAGGGCAGACTCTCAGGGGTGTTTGTTCAGCGGGGAGGAGCCCCCAGGAGAGGGGACACCAGGACTCACCACATCAGAGGCCGGCTCTGGGGCTCAAAGCTCAAGGTGGGGCTCAGCCCCTTCCCCGACGGCTCATGGGGCATCAGAGACTGTCAGCGCCCAGCCAAAGGTGGCAGATGCCTCCCTGGCTGGAGACCTCAGGCCTGAAGGTTTGGGGTTTGGAAGGAGGCCTTGGCCACAGTGACCACTTCTCCACCTGTGGCTCAAACCTCTGCTCCAGGCCTGGTGGGGGCTGGGGAGGGCTGGGCAGCTGGGGAGTATAAGGGCCGCTCCAGGCTGTCGGGAAACCAGGCAGTGGCTCCTGGGTTCATGCAGAGCCTCATCCAGGGGTTGCTGCCCAGCACGGACCAGGGACACTGTGAGCCTCTCACCATGACCGCCACACCTGGGCAGGCCCTGGGCTCCCTCCTGCCCACTCTTCTTCTGGGACTCACAGGTGAGTCCCGAGTCCTGACCACGGAGACTCTCAGAGCAGGCAGAGAGGCCCTCAGGGATTACCGAACCCAGCCACCTTGTGTTCCAGGTGGGAGACTGAGGCAGAGAGGACCCGGCAGGGCTGTTCTCCTGCCTGCCAGGTGCTGTTGTGCATCTTTTCCTCAACACGGAACTCACGGGAAAAGGGAGATGGTGGCAGCTTGGGGGTCAGAGGAGGGTGTGACTCAAGAGTGAAGGGCTAGGGTAGGTCGGGGACAGAGAGGAGCCCGTCTCCCACCCAGCTTCCCTGCTGTCAGCGCTGGTCTGGGTGGCCACCAGTCCTGCGTCAGGTGTGAGGGCTGGAAAGACAGAGAGAGAAACCTGAGCGAAGGGGCCTCTGTGTCGCGGGAAGAGCCTCTGCTTGCTGACTCAGACAGACCTCCTGCCGCCCCCCGCCACCACTGACAGGCTGTGCAACCTCCGGCAAGTCACTAAACCTCACCGAGTCTGCTTCCTCTTCTGGAAACTGGGGACAATAGTCCTATTAATAGCATCCCACAGCTGGGATATGGATGAAAACGAGCCCACACACCTGAGCGTTTTATAAACCACAGGCTGCTGCATGCAGGGGGTGCGATGAGAACATAACATGAAAAGGGACCAGAGCTGTGTGCTAGGAGGACAGGCTGCCCTCTGTCACCTGTCACCTTGTGTTCTCCTTGCTGGTTTATTTGTCTTCCCCCCCACACACACTTAACCAGATGCTGCCCAAGGGAAGGGGTCCTGTCTGATTCATCTCTGGGACCCCAGCACCCAACTCACGACCCGGTGCAGAGCAGGGGCTCAGGGGATGCAGTGAGGACTTGGAGAGGTCCCTGCTCCAGATCTCTGTAGGGCTGTCCTTGGGAGGAGGGACAAGTCTCATTCCGTGGTTTTCCTGGGATAACTCTAGCGGGTAGATCCCAGGTTAGCAGCAGGAAGTATTTTGTCATACTCTAAGCTACACGAGGGTGAATGAAGCTGCCTTGGGTGAGAGAGCTCCCCGTCACTGGAGGTGAGCAAGCAGAGGATGCACACCCATGGAGGTGTTGAGGGGAGGAACCCGAGTAGGAGGCCAGCTATCCCCGCTGCAGTGACCTTTGACTTCACACTTGAATCATTGTAAACTTATGTCTAAAATGGAAATCCCGAGTCTTCACCATACCGTTCCTATCCCAGTTCAGTCCTTCTCCAGTTCTCCCCATCTCAGAAAGTAGGCCACCATCCTCCCCGCCGCTCTGGAGACAGACTCGGAATCATGTATCCATCATTCACTGTCCCTCATCCCTCATCCCCCATCCCGTCCATCACCAAGTCCGGTGGGCCATACCTTCCGCATGAGTCTCCAGCCCCTCCGCCTTCCTCACCACGCTGGTCCAGGCCACGGTCAGCTGGGCCTGGAGGTGAGTGCCAGCACCCCCGTGGGTCTCCCGCTACCATTCCTGCCACCCTCCTGCCCATTCTCCACAGAGCAACCCCAGTTATCTTCTAAAATATGTAAATCAGACCACCGTGCCCCTCTGTTTAAAGTCTCAACAGTGTCCCGTCACACTCAGAATAGAATCAAGATCGTTACCACGTCCCACAACGCTCTTCTCAACATAGACTTCTCTGTTATGACGTCGAAGTCCTACAGACCTCTCAGTTTCTCCTGCCCCAGGCCCTTCTCACCTGCTGTCCCTGCCATCTGGAACGTCCTTCCTCTGTTCCTTCCCTTGGCTGGCTGCTATTCATTCCTTGGTTTCAGCTCAAAATGTTATCTCCTCAAGGAATCCTTCTCCGACCACCCTTCTAGAATAAGTTCTCCCTGTATTGTCTATCTCTGCATTCTTTGGGTTTCCTAGAGGGCATTGAGCCCCAGTTATAACCACACTCATATTCGCTTGTTTACTTGTTATCGTGTGTCTGTATGTTCCCTGAGGTTGGAAGCAGACAGGGCACATAGTAGGTCCACAGGGCCTGACAGGTCGCTGGCGCTGCTCCCCACGTGCAGTCACGATCACTCTCTATCCCAGCTGGGCAGCCCTTCATCTCTCTGACGGGCCCGTCTCAGAGGACAACCCCTGGAGATTCGGTGCTTTTCAACTGCACTGCCGGCCCCTTCGGCTCCCAGGACTTCAATGTCACCTGGTTGAAGGACAGCTATGAACTTCCAGCCTCAGCTCAGCACCCGGTGACTGATGAGGAAGGCAATTACTCCATCACCAGCAAGGCATGGGTGACACTGGCCCAACGAGACGTCTCATCCAAGATCACCTGCAGCGTCGCCCACAGGACCCTGAAGGATCCCCTACAAGCGACCATGAATCTCTCCCACGTGCTCCGAGGTGAAAGGGCAGTGGCATGGGGTGGGGGCTGGCCCAGGCAGCATCAGCTTTCAGGCTTTTCGCCGAAAGCTCCTCTTCACAAACGAGGACCCAAATTCCTCATTGCCTCCCGATCACACGTGCAGTGATTGGAACGCAGGTTCCAGAAGCCCAGAGTCTGGGCTTCAGTCCAGCTGTGCCACTTTCACAAGCTGTCTGATCTTGCAAGTTATTTGACTATTCGGTGCCTCAGTTTGCTTGTAAAATGGGAAGGAAATTACGACCTGTGGGCTTAGGAGAAGATGGAATTTTGGGGCTTCCTGAGAAGATTAAATGAGTTATTCCTTATAAAGCACCTAGAACAGTGCCTGGCACACAGTAAGTAACTTTTGAGTGTTTGATCTTCTTGCGATGACCTGGCCCCAGCATCCCTTTCCGAACACCTTTTTCTATTAATATCATTGTTATCGTTTTTGGATTTTAAATGTTTATTATTCATTCAACAAATAAATGAATATCCATTGTTTGCCAGACACTGCTGTCCGTGCTGGGGATGCAGCAACAAGCAAAATAAAGTCCCTGTCCTCATGGGCATTGCATTTTAATAATTCTTAGGAAATATTTCAAACTACAGAGAAGTATACATGGGACACCTGTGTACCCCTACCCGTATTTAATGAATATTAACATTTAGCCGGATTTGCTTTACATGGAGCAAACAAGAAAAAATTATTTCTTTAAAAAGAGTGAGAGATCTTGAGGCTGGTCCCTGGGAGAGGGGGACACGGGGGCTGCAGGCAGGGGCTGATTTCGCCAGCTCTTACCTTCTGTCCCTCTGTCCAGTTACCCCCACCCTGAAGATCACCACCCAGGCCTCTGGGACGCACGTCCGCGTGCAAGAGAGAGTGAACCTCACTTGCCACGCCAGCCACTTCTATCCCGCCTCCCACCTGCGTCTCACCTGGATGGAGAACGGGCACACGATCCAGATCGTGAAATCCCCCCGGGTCACCGGAAACCCCGACGGGACATACGCTCTGGAGCACACGTGGCAGGCCGAGGCCACGCTGGAGGGGAGTGAGTTCGCCTGCTGGATCGTCCAGGATGAGGAGCCCCCTGTCAAGGCCAACATCACCCTGCGAGCTCACCCGCCCAGGCATGCGCAAGGTGGGTGCGGCCTCTGGCCCAGCCCTCTGGGCAGCAGGGCTGGAGAGGGTCGGGACTCAGGGCTCGGGCAGCGCTGGATGCAGGTAAGGAAGGGAGGTGCCCTCGCTCCCTCCCCCACACCCTCACCCGGAAGCAGCAGTGGGACTCCCCGTCCCCAATTCCATGAGCTCTTGATGTTGAACGTTCTCCGCCTGACACTTGACTGCAAGAAATGGCAGAGATTAAGGACGGCCGGGCACCGAAATCCCTTCTGGGAAGGCTATTAACCAAGACTGGTTCAGTTGGAAGTTTCTGGAAGTCAACTTTAAGGAGAGTCCGGAATTCTTGACTCAGCTGGGAAAGAGGGTTGATGCAGGTTCTCACATAGGATGGGTGCAGCTCCTCCTCTCTTTCCTCCTCTTTCTACTTCCCCTCCTCTTCCTCCCTGTCTCATCCGTGGCCTCAGATAATATTTCCACAAGGGGGCGCTGCCTGCTGGCAGTTCAGGCCCCGAGGGCGGCGCGCTGCTTTCCTTTGGTGCAGCTCGGACCAGTTTGGGGGAATGCATCGCTGGCCCCGGGGGGGATAGGTGTGGGGTGGACAGTGGAGGGTGTATTACGACTGGACAGGCCCGGGTGAGCCGGGGGTAAGCCAGGTATCCAGAGCCACGTGGAGCGGGGAAGGACAGCTCCCCTGGGAAGCGTGGCTGTGTGCGTCTGTGCATGTGTATCCCAGCGGGGGCCACCACTCGAGAGGGGCGGGCCAGGCAAAACCAGCCCAGCTTCCCGACAGGGCCCTCCATCCTGCCTTCTATCTCTCCCCGACAGGACTGGCCTTTATTTGGCTGCTGTAAGAGCCCTCGGGGGAATGATCCCACTCGGCTTTACATTTCTCCGTGCTCTTTTTTGTTGTCCAGCAGAAATAAGAAAAACGTTCACCCAGCAGGATACACAGGTCTGGGTGAAAAACTCCAGTCGGGCCCCGTCTGATCAGAAGAAGCAAGTGCGGTATTTCTTTATTGACTCAAGCTGAGTTTTTTCCTCTTATTTTTCTCCTGCATACAGCGTATCTGGCCCACAGCTGCAAGATTAACCCCCTGGGAGCCTCCCTTCCAGTCTTGCGCTTCCCTGTACAGCTTCGTGGTGCCCTGTGGTCCGCAGGGGGAAGGGCGGCCCCTCCTTTTCTGGCATTCAGGCCCCTTTCTATTGGGTGTTAACATACCCTCGAAGCTGTCCCTCCCCAACCCGGCCCATGACAGCCTTCATCGGCACCCCTGCCCCCATGCCTCTGTTCCTACTGGCTGCCACCCACAGAGCACCCACTGTGCACACAGGTTATCTGATCCTATGGCAGAGCCCAGAGAGCTAGCACAGGGATCAAGGTCTCAGACGTTTCAAATAGCAGAGCTGGGACTAGAACACAGGGCTATCTGTTCACAAATTCAATGAGTTTTTCTATATTTTTCTCTCCTGTCCTGCCTGAGAATACAAACCTTAGTGTTATCTCAAGTCTTTTCTCAAATATCAATCTTACGTGTTCTATTGCTGATACATGTTTCTTCCTGAACTGTGTGGGCATATCTGTCTATACCATTCAATTCTCACAATCGGTACTTCAACTATAGGGCCTCCGGAAAGCCCAGGGCGTGGGGTTTTATCCCATTGACACCTTCCTCTGTGACTAGAATCTCACAGCCTTAGAGCGGGGACTGCCTCTTCTGTTTGGAGGTGGCCAAACTTTGGAGTCAAACGGATCAAGATCCCATGGCAGGGCTGTCACTGCCCAGCCGTGTGATGACAGGCAAAGCCATTCCCTTTCTGAGTGTCCTCATCTGTGCAATGACAATTGTTATACCCAACTCGAGAGGCCCTGGTGAGGATTCCTTTCCTTCACTCCTGCCTGGCATCTGGACAATGGGGCCACAGTAAGTGCCCTGCAATGACTGTTCGCAGTCCCCATAGTGCCTAGCCCAGAGTTGGGCAGAAAGTGGGACGATATTAAAGACCATTGATTCGTGCAGAGCCCACTGTGCAGAAGTAGAGGCGGGAGCTGTGATGTGACCAAAAGGCCCTTAATTTAGAGTCAGAACTCTTGGCTTGCAATGTCGGTTCTGTTTGCTGTGAGGCCCTTGGGTGAGTCACTAGCCCTCTCTGAGCCTTTTCTTTCTCTGTTAACATTAAAAATATGATTAATAACAATTCCTCAGATGATCACTGTGAGTATACGATGCTGATAGTTACCATTTATAGAGTGCTTTCTATGTGCCACATACTCTACACTAGTTAGTTTACTTAATTTCTTAACTGAGCATTAAGAATCATCCTCATTACACAGGTGAGGAAACCGAGGCTTAGAGAGTTGAGTTGCTCGGGCTCCAGGGGAGGAGTTGGGAATGCAAACTTGGGTTGAGCAGGACTCCAAGACCCAGGTGTGAACTTCTCTCCGAGACCTGGCCTCTGAGCAGTGAGGTGCTCTTCCCTCTCCAGGGCCTGAGGGTGGGGTCGAGGGGTGGTCAGGGGCACAGACCCTAGGGCCAGGCTGCCTGGCTAAGAAGCCCAGCTCTGCCAGTGACCAGCTGTGGACCTTAGACGAGTTACCTAGCTGGTCTGAGCCTCAGTTTGCTTATCTGTGAAATGGGGATAGCGACAGCTCCTAGGGGTGCTGGGAAAACTCAGTGAGTTAGGGAAGAGCCCGGAAACAGGGTAAATGTGATGTGGGTGTTTGATTTTTGCTGTGTGATGTTAGCAAGCGTCAGCCTCCTTACAAACTGCTGTGGTCCCTGTAGTTTCATTGTCCGGCCTCTGAGATCAGCTTCAGAAGTTAGCTCCTATCAGAAAGTAACCTTTCAACCCTATGGAAAAGCAATGGGGCTCTTGATGCAGACGCTGAGGGTTTGTTCACGCTGGGATTCGGGCACGACTGTGCCCTCTTATGGGAGGGTCTCTCCTTGCAGGCAGGCGCGCCCACTCTTACAACTTGCAAAGCCCCCTGCAGCGATCTGAGCCCGGCACAAGCATTCGACTGACCTACACGATTTCTGGGTTCTCCACACGTCACGTGACTGTGACCTGGTTTAAAAACAAACACAAGCTCCCCAAGTCCCAGACCAGCGTCCGCCATAGTGGACACACCTACAATGTAACGAGTAGTGTGTTGGTCCCGCTGAAGAATGAGGATGTGTTCTCCTACGTTGTGTGCCACGTCGAGCACAATTCGACACTGTTTTTCCAGAAAACCATCAGCCTGGACCAGTACCTCCGCGGTAAGATTTTTCTCTTTGCTTGGCCGCATTAGTGCAGGGTTGGACTGTGGACTTCTCAGAGCCTCAGTTTCCTCGTTGAAAAACGGCACATCTCTCATTTGGCTGTGGCAAGGAGTCAATGAAATACTACCTGTAAACACAGGCGTTGTTACCTTAACACAGTGCTTTGCTCGTACTAATCACCCAGAACTGGCAATTGTTGTTAATTATTGTTATTGTTATTATTCACATTACTTCTCAGAACTCACTTCTCTTGTCTGGAGACAGAATATTTATCTTCTGGGAACTTAATTTTATTATAATTATTTTATCTAAAGAAGATTTGTAGGACTTTAAGAACTTCTAAATTTTAGGGACTATGATGTCTTTAAATTATTATTTATACCTGGGTATGAACCTAACTTTTCTATTGATTTTCCTGGATTGCACCAATGCTTGGTAGACCTGTGAATTCAGTGAAGTCACAGGGTATTGTGCCCAGAAGGAATCTTAATAATCATCCCATTGGAATGATGACTAAAGCTCAGAGAAGGCAACTGAGTGGTCTAAGGCTGCATAGCAGTAAAATTAATTCCTTAAATGTGCATTGGACTTTCAAATCTACAAAATGGATCTTACAAAATCTATTTGTTTTCTTAACTGAAAAATAGGAGAATAAGTGTGCTATTATCATGGAAGTAAACACATCCTTTTATATTGATGTTAGTGTCTTGAATGAGCATGGCGGACAGGCAGTAGAGCACATTTTTGTGGGTTCACTTATTTAACAACTTCCTCACTCTTATTTGACAACTTCCCTGTACTGTTTGTCCCATTCATGGCTTACATAAGGAAACTGAGGTTCAAAGAAGCTGCCCAAAGTTGCAAAGCTGGCTAATGAGAGACCTTAGCATGAACTCCAGCTTTCAACTCTGCTCTATCTCCCAGCTGTGGGACCCCTTGCAAGTTGCTTATGTTCTCTTGTCTTCAGTATCTTTGGCTATAAAATAGGAAAACAATAGGTCAGGGGGTCCTCCTTATCTGAAGATTTATTAGGTTATGCCCTGGAGCTAGGACAATTGTGTAGAGAAGCAAAAGTAATAGAAAGTAGAAATACTCCCAGGTTAATTCATTGCTTATAAAATTAGCTCCCACTGAAAACCTCTCCCTACTCAACACTTCATGTATCGTGGATTGTGTCTCCTGTCATAGAAATGTCCTTGTGGGTGTCTTTATTTGGGTTCCCCTGAAAGCAGAGCCTGGAACCAGGACGTGGGGGCAGGTGGTCGGGAGGCGATACTGAGAGGTTGGGGTGGTGGAGCAGGGAGAAAGAGACAGGGAAGGGGGGACAACAAAGATAGGGTGAGTTATTAAGCTGGGGACCCTCTGAGTAACTGTGTAGACTGTGTCTCAGAATTGTCCCATGACAGAGGGGAGGCTTGAATGTGCATGCATGGACCAGGTGGCATTTCACGGCTCTAGCGAAATCCGAGGCAGAGAGGTGGGAAGGTGTTTTGGGAACTCAAGGTGGGACTCAGCGTGAGAGGAACTGTCCAGCACCGCTTGCCTGAGATCAGGTGGCGGGGGTGGTGTGGAGTCCAGAAATCCTCTGCTAAAGGAGGTGGGTCTTGCCTTGATTGAAGCGTGGCAAACATCAGACCGTACCATGAAAATCGAATTCACATCCATTGCAAAGTGCAATTGGAGATCTTGCAAAAGTTGTAGTTCAAGAAGTTGATGCAAATGATATTGGGGAATTGCTGGCATCCCAGGCAAAGCCTTTGCGCAGTTAACAAGGGAAGAGAAGGAAAAATCTGTGATGATGACACTGTGGACGCTTCAGAAGAGGACACTTTGATGAAAAGAGGCCCCTGTGAAAATTGCTAAAACACTCAAATAATTTCAAATACATTTTCCAAATTACCTTTAAATGATTGGGCTGGTAGTGTGAAATTTTAAATGAAAGATTTGTTGGTACTATAGTGTTAGTTTTGGGGAAAAAATTATGCCAGCTTCCTTCCACTCCTAATACTTGTTCCTTCTAAGAGTTGGTGCACAGTTGCAACAATATTCTGTATTTACATAAAAATATAAATTAAATAAAATTGTTTTTATAATTTAAATGCTTTTCAAGATGAAGTTTCATCCAATTCTTTTTTGACAATTTCTATGAAATTGGGGCCTGATTTTGTATGGGTCCCTTCTAAGTGGTGCTTTTTTTCTCCCCAATACCAAACCGCTTTCAGTGTTGACGGTATTTGGTTTTGTGAGAACTAAATAAGAAAACATGTGTGCACACATTGCCTCCAACACCGCCATTCAGTGCACGGAGGCAGTTGTCATCAGCTGTGCCCAGGCCTCTGTCCTCCTGACACTGCCCCAAACACCATACAGCTGGGAGAGCTCCCTGGTGGCTGGAATGGGCCATTTGAGCCTGTCATCCTTTTTTTGGTCTTTGCCACTCTTTAGGGCCCATGGCACTTGCTTGGTGGCATCTTACCCTAGCCTGTCCTCCATGGGCACTGCCATAGTTACCAGGCCTTCAGCATCCTGGGTGCCCTCTTCTCAGGTCTTGCTCTTTGCTTGGTGAGACCCCTGTGCCGTGCCTGTGTGCTGAGAAGGAAAGACTGAGCACAGGAAGAAAGTTCTGAGACAGTGCCTCGCCTTGGCTGTCCAACCCATTAGCAGCATCATTTGTAGAATTTTACAAGTCTGGCTGGGTTGAGGATGAGAAAAGAATATTTTGGGGTCAGATGCTCATAGCCCCTTCAAATTGCACTAAGTAAGGAGTTACTCTCTGTACCCTAGACCGAGAGCTGAAATCCGTCTTAACTAGACTTATAGAACTGATCTGATCCTAGAGGATTTCATAATTTCTGGAAACAGAGGGAAAGTGACTTGCACAAGTTCTTGCAGTCGGCTATGGTGTCAGTGCAGGGACCAGAATCCAGATCCCCCAGCCCTTAGTTTAGTGTTAGAGCTGTACCATATTGTGTGTTCATATGAAATCTACTGAAATATTTAATGTTCCATAAGATTGCAAATTTCTCCAATTTTCCCCACTGTGGATGCATTCTACTGCATAGTTGAAAATCTGGTTGAAAAAATTCTAGAAGTCAATAGATCATAATTTCAGAAGCCTAGAATCATAAATGCTTATAGCTTTATAGTCCAGGTGTCAGAATAGCAGAAACGTAAAACATACTATTTCTGGCATAATCCAAGCTTTGCCACTTGTGACCTTGGGCAAGCTACTTAACCTCTCTAAACTGAAGTTCCTTCCTATGTAAAATCTCAGTATCATGGATGCCAAGACTTAGAGTCTATGAATCTTCAAATCTCAGAATTATCTAGTCATAGAGTGGGTCAAATGATTTGTGGCTCCTTCGATGGAATTCATACGTCATCTTTTTATCTTTAATGGCAAAGGTGAAAAAGAAAAGAAAGATTAGGATGGCTTTCATCAATCCCGTTCATTTTTCCATCCATCCATCCATCCATCCATCCATCCATCCTTCCATCCTTCCATCCAACCATGTATTTCATCCATTCGCACTCTCATTCAATCATGTATTTCCTATGCATGCATCTGTTGACCAATACCTAAATCTTCCCCTGTGGCAGGCCCTGGGCTAGGCTGTGAGCAGATGACCCCATCCTCAAGGAGCCCCTAGGTTCCCGCAGTAATTGCCTGTTTTCTCTGGGCTTTGCCAGTTCCCCCTGCAGTGACAGTGTCCCAGTCTTCCACCTCCTCTGGCTTGGTGCTGGCTACCTGCCACGTGCAGAGATTCTATCCACAGAGTGTGCAACTCACCTGGCTGGAAGACTGCCATATGCTCAAAGGAACTGAGCAACCCACATCCAAGAAGAATGACGATGGGTCCTACACCCTGGAAAGCTTGCTGCTGGTGAATGGGTCGATGCAGGGGGCTGAGCGGGTGCTCACCTGTATGGTGCAGCATGAGACGCAGCCTCCCATACGGGCCAGCCTCATACTCTCCACGGCAGCCCACACCACATACAAGTCCACTGGGAGCCCAGGTAGGTTCACCTCTTCTCCTGCGGCCACCTGGAGCCACCTCTGTATCCTAGTGGATTCCAGAAGGCACAGGGAGGAGAGGAAGCTTGATTGTTATTGGGATCTTGTCCAAGCTTGTGATTCGCTAAATAACCAGTATGGTTTCTGGCCAGTGGCTTCCTTTATATGTGGCCATCCTGAAAGGTTCTTTCATTTCTGGGGAAAAAATGTTCTCCTGGCTCAACCTCTTTGAAAATTCCCAAGAGAGAGTTCAGCTTAGTGTGCTCACTTCCTGGTGACTCGGTGGTGGCTGTCAGCAGGGGTTTCTTGTTGAAAGCCTTGTCTGTTTGAGTTGTATGGAAGTGAGTTTGCCTGTACATAAGGCTTGTTTGGACAGCCTTACCCTGGGCGCCGTGTGATGTTTGATACAGTGATAGAACAGGCTCGTCCACTTAATTCTTGCATAAGCACGTGACCTCTCTGTTTGCTCATCTGTAGATAGGGTCTAATAAATGTTCCTAATTCATAGTCTTTATGAGGATTAGACGAATTAACACATAAAAACTCTACATATATGTTTACAATAAATGTCAACTACTATTACTATTATTGGAATTCAGGTAACATTTTAAAATTTACTTTCCAGTAATTATAGTTGTGTCAACTTAGGCAACTGAGTCAATTATCCTCTCAGAGCCTCAGTTTACTCATCTATAAAATGGTGCTGAAGATACCAAACTCCTAAGATTGCAGCAAGATTATGGCAAATGGCCACAAGGATTTAGGGGGACATGGAGCTGACTGTATTCAGGTATGTACCTCCAAGCCTGGCACACTGGCTGGTGTATGTTAGGTATTCAAATCAGTGTTCCTTTAGCCAAATTCAAGGTGAGGCTCACAGGTCCAGGTAATCTCATCTCCAAGAGAGAGCTAAGTGTGGAGAAAAGACATAGGCTTGGAATCAGATAGAATTAGGTGCAGCTTGCAGGCTCTGGAATTGCCTGGCTACGTGACCTCAGAGAGGGCATTTAAACCCACAGAGCCCCATTTGATGGCCCCTTCTGCTCCTTGGCATTTAGGTCCAGAGACGCCTGCCCTTATCTTTGTGGCTTTCCTCCTGGGCCTCAAGGTGCTGCTGGTGATAAGTTTCACAGTCACCTACATCTACAGGAAGTAGAACCTGTGACAGGTGAGTTTGGGGTGGGCTTTAGTCCTTAGGGAGGGAGGTCAGGACCACGGTCATGGCTGGAAAGAAGAGTCCAGGGAAAGCCCATAAAGTCACATGGTGCCCCCAGGGGTGATCCAGCCTCAGGAGAAGGTTGTGAACACTCTTATTTCCTCCAAATGACTGTTGGAATTCTCAGAGGCTTCTAACTCTGTGTATTGCGTAGTGCCCTGGAGGTGGAAGGTTTTCAAATTACGTTCCTTGGAGCCCTGAAGGTGGGGGTCCAAGGTGTGGGAGTGGGATGAAGGTCAAGACCTGAGCTCCAGAGTCCCCCCGGTAAATATATTTCCGTTTTCATATGATATATCTTTGCAATGAATGAGGAAGGTATTGCTAAAATCAACTAATAGAACCTGTCCAAGGGAGTTGGAGGTTCTGACTAGTGGCAAAGGTGAATGTGGGTACGGGAGAGAGTTCAGAACCCAGAAAGTGGTATTGGGGTGAAGCACGTAGGGGCTTCATTTCTGATCTGTGCCATGAACCCAGACCAAGCAGAATCTGCCACATACTAGGTGCTCGATAAATATTTGTGAACTTAATACATGAGCGAACAAACAAATGAATGAACGATCTTTCCCCTACGGCTCCTACGTGCCCTGTGACATTGCCTCCCGCTCTCTCCAAGGGGCTCCTCGCCAAAGGGCTCAAGTAGGGAGAAGAAGCTGCAAAGACCTGTAGGTCACTCGAGACCCCTGCCCTTCACTCTGTCACTGCCACCCCATGGCAGACACACATCCTCCACACACCCTCCTCACGTTCCTTCCCTCAGAGCTTCGGAACTGAGTCAGGGATGGAGTTTGGTTACGCAGGACGCAAGGATGTCTCTCTCGACCCTGATGTACAGAGCTGCAAATTGGCCCTGACTCCACCCAAGAGAGAATCAAACGGGTCAAGAAAAGAAGTTTCCATCCTGCCCCTTATCATGAATAGTCCTCAATTTTCAGAGCAGTTTTTACCTTATTCAGGGCTTTTGCAAGCATTATTTCATTTTAACACATACATTTTGAAATCACCAGCAAGTTGAATAAACATTTTTCTCTTCTGAAATATGTTGAAAATAATATTAAAAAATCCACGGACCTACCCTCCTATCTTTGCAAAATAGTAACATTTTGCTATTATGTTCTTCAGGTCATTTTAAGAAACACTGTCCTGAATTAGGTGTTTACTGGTCTCAAGCATGAATTTATCATTCTCAAGCATGATTTTATACTTTTACAACATATGTATAAATCCTTAAGCAATATACAGTACTTCTGTATGTACTTTGCATGTTTGGAACTTTATGTAAATGCTATGATACTGCACAGAGCACTCTGCAACTTTATTTTTTATGCTTAGCACAGTTTGTGGGATTTATCCATGTTGATATATGGAGCTTCATTTTATTAATTTTCCTCTGCTCTGTGGTCTTCTCCTGTGAGAATACATCACAGTTCTTCTCATGAGTGATACCGAAGCTTTTGTTCAGTGGTTTAGTACAACTTTGCAACAAGCGTTTTTATATTTGTTTCCTTGGGCACATGCATGTAGGAGAGTCCCTCTTGTTCCTCTAGTGTGGTCCACAAAGTTGCAGTGTTGGTATTATTTCAGAGATTTTGTTATACAAAAAAAAAATTTCAATTTTGGGTCAAGTTTTGACTTTTCCATTTATGTTTTTAATCTAGCTATACTCTTCTGGGGTGTGTGTATGTGTGTGTGTGTGTGTGTGTGTGTGTGTGTGTGTGTGTGTATTATGGGTGGTAGGAATCTTAGCTTTTTTCTACAAGGATAAATTATTCAGCACTCCCTGATAAGCAACGCCACCTTTGCCGTATTTCAACTGTCTATAAATCTGTGGTTCTTTTGATGAGCTCTTTGTTGCATTGATCTACTTGTCTATCTCTCTGTCAATACAGGCATACTTCCTTTTATTGCCCTTCACTATATTGCACTCCACAAATACTGCGTTTTTTACAAATTGAAGGTTCGTGGCAACAAACAGCATCTATTGGCACCATTTTCCAACAGTATGTGCTCATTCTGTGTCTCTGTACCACAAAATGTGGTAATTCTCACAGTATTTTAAACTTACTCATTATTACTATACCTGTTATGGTGATCAGTGATCTTTGGTGTTACTATTGTAATTGTGTTGGGGCACCACAGACTGTCCCCTATAAAATGGTGAGCTTAGTAAATGGCCATTCCCCCATCTCTCTCCCTTTCCTCGGACTTCCCTATTCCCTGAGACCAACAATATTGGAAATTAAGTCAATTAATAGCCCTACAATGGCCTGTTCAAGTGAAATGAAGAATCAGACATCCCTCATTTTAAATCAAAAGCTAGACATGATAAAGCTTTGTGAAGAAGGCATGTTGAAAGCCAAGACAAGCCAAAAGCTGGGTCTCTTATACCAAACAGCCAAGTTGTGAATGTAAAGGAAAAGTTCTTCAAGGAAATTGAAAGCACTACTCCAAGGAACACATGAATGACAAGACAGCAAAAATAGCCTTATTGTTGACATGGAGAAAGTTTTAGTGGTCTGGATAGTAGATCAAACCAGCTACAACATTCCCCTACAATATCTCTGAGGCATTCCTCTACTGCACTGTTTAGTTAAAATAGCTTTACTATAAGTTTTGATACCTCTTTTGGGCCACTTATCCCACCTCTTCTTGTTCAAAATTGTCATGGCTATTCTTGGCCCAAATGCATTTTAGAATCATTTTGTCAAGTTTCATGAGAAGCCCTCTTAGACGTTATTACTTGATTGCATTAAATTCATATATTAATTTGGGCAAGTTGACAACTTTCCAATACTGTCTTCCCATTCATGGGCGTGGTATACCTCTGATTATTTAGGTTTTCTTTTATGACTTTCAATTTGCAATTTTATTGTTTTTCCCCCATAATGGTCTTATGCATCCTCAGTTAGAGCTGCCTTTAATATTTCCTAGTTTATGGAATCTTTAAAAATTAAATCAGAGAGTGGAGGTCACATAGCCAAAAGTTTTAAAAAATTCAACATTTTGTGTGGAGTCATAGTTAAAAACCAATGACAATGTAATATTTAATGAGTGTTTTACTTTCAAAGTGTTCTGATTTGTACAGTAAATTATATATGCTCACTCTTTATACTTAAAAAAATTAAAGCAGAGAAAGCTCCAGGAGGACCTAGCAGCCAAGAGAGACCCGAAGAGCCCAAACACCAAGCCTTATCTAAAAACCAAGAGTAACTGCTTGAATCTACCATCTTCTAAATCTACCCAAAAAGAATGTTACCAACCATGCCATTTTGCCTGTCAAAGCTACAAGGCTCATCAGCATTAAACTCCAACCCAGACCAGCCAATATTACAGAATCCCAGAAGCCAAAGTTGGAGCCACCAAAGCTGAGCAAAAGGCTAATTTTAAGATGTGTTCCTTCTAACCCAAACTATAAGCCTCCTAGCAATCATCAGTAGCAGCATGAGCTGGATCATCTGCTATAGGAGAAGTGCCAGGAAAACCCATGGGGTCACTCGATGTATAGGATTTGCAAACCATAAAGCAGCAGGTAACAGATCAAGGACATTGCTCTGTGGGCAATACCCATGTTGAAAATGAATCTTTGGGTAGCTTTCTA